AGGGAGGCGTCAGCAGTAGCCTGTTTTCGCTTACCCGCCCTGCTGTATGCAGCAAGTAAGGCGACCCGTCTGACGGCACCACGCGACGGCCGATGTGGCATGGGTTTACTTGTGGATGTGCAATTCATGGTTGTACGTGGGCTAGGATACTGCCAGGGCGTCCACACCTAGACTGGAGGACGATTAGGGTCCTCAACCAAACCCTTTGGATCAAAAGCCTAACCGCAAGGCAGCGGTGTTTGGCGGGAAATGCAAATGCATTACCATTTCTACGGAACAAGTCGCCACACGTTCCAACTCCCAACCTGGATGGCCAGGAGACTGTTTGTCAGACCTCTAACCATTGACCAACCTGGTACGAGAGACTCTGTGAGTGTCGCGGGACACTCCAGTATAGCTTAATGGATCGCTGAGGTGCGCGAACCGTCACACCACGGTAAGGTCCAGTCTCTTCGTGACCGCCACCTCGTTTTGGTATCCTCAAGCCTTCCTGATGGGTCCACCTGATTCCTATCACGCATGGTTGAAAATCCGGCGTGACACGGCACGCAATATATCCCACGGGCGAGCTTGTCATCACTTGGCTGACCCGCTTAGTTAAAACTGTCTGTTGCTGTGTAGAAAAAATAATGATCGTTCAACTCTAACATCCTCTCGGCACCCGGCTGTCATTTCCTCCAAAGGAAGCCCGAGAGCTGAAATGCTGCCTAGTTGCTAAAGCCCTTAAGTGATACTCTCTGGCATACAACAAACAACATTCACCTGTAACAAAAGCTGACCACTGGTAACTTACTGTGCTTCGTCTAGCAAACCACCAACCCAAGTCACGTATGGTGTTTCCTCTAGCACTACCGATGATTGTGCGCGGAATGGACCTCTGCAAATGTTCCATCACGCAATAGACTGATTTCTCGGTTTAACGTCCTACAGCATGAATCGATCCTTAAACCGTTACATCATGTGGGGCATCAAAGGCTCGGGCTTATTACCCCACACCAGCCCCAGGAATCCAACTCATCCTTTGATAAATTATCGGAAGTTCAACATCATGAGCCAATCACTTAGCACATGCGCTACAGAGACATGGCAGCTAAGGTAGCATGACAGCTGTGCACCGAAAGAGTGTTACATCTGAACGGTTATTATTATTTGATTTGCGGAAACTATTTATCTCGACAACACATCCGTAAATTGCAGTCGAAACCAGAGGCCACACATTCAAACAGACAATCCCTTGCCAAGAGTAATGAACTTTTTTAGTGGCTTGCGGTCGAAGTGTCTCAACGCTAAAGATCAACTACTTTGATGCACTGTCCGAACACGAGGCATGGGGCTAGCGTGTTCCCATAATCACTGTGATAACTGCCATAGACATATGCTGGATCATCTGACTGCAGTCGTTATGCTATGGAAATTTGAAGTTTTCATGCAATATCCCAAAATGTGCGGGGAAAAGATGAAAAGGGGGCAGATAAATGGAAAAAAGAGAAAGAACCAAGTGTGTGCATGAGCGCTTTTCGCCAGCATGCCATCCTCTGCTTTCATCTGCAGCAGCCCTGAAGGAACATTGCTTCCTGTGTAAGGCGCTGGACGACTGAGGGGCGTCTGCTACTACATTCTATGCTGTCCTGATCCCGATTCTCACTGCCTTACGTTAACCGACCTCGTGCACCACTGCACTTGCACCGGCCGGTTCGCGTAGGGTATGGAATCCCAGGACAGTCTCCTTCATCAAATGGTTACTTTGACGTTCTTCACCCGTAATTTTCTGTTATTTTCGTGTGAGTATTGGTACTTTGTTTAGCCCTGCTACGTTAGATTCGACTCACACAATTTCTTTTTTTCACCCTCAGAAATTGTCGTCAAACTGTGCCTTTGGAGAACCTCGGTTCTTGGAGTTCGTGCATACTACGGCCGTTCACAGGATATACAGTTAGAAAAGTCTCTGCAACATATCCATGGGCGGTTATTTCTCAAGCGTATCATCCAAGCCACAATCAAAAACTAGAAAACGACCCATATTAGAAGCTGTCGACGATGATTTACCTATCAAGTATGTTAACTGAAGAATTCAATTACTTTTTTGTGAAGGAAGCGCATACGTTCGACGTATAACTACGTTTACCGAGAATTATTTTGCAAAGGTGAAGGAAGTGATCTGACAGTGAAAAGTCTGAATGAAGAATGGCATTTACACAGATTGTATGTGAAGCAGGTCTGTTTTTTGCCCATCAGCGTTAGAGGATAACTGATCTTAGTCTCCATTCTTCTCTGCCATGTTGGATGGGGGTTGGAAGGAAAGTGGATGCAGTGTCATTGAGCTCGAACTTTCCGATCCCAATATAACCAAATCGTCTTTGAATACTGTTTTTGGAGCTTTCTATCGTGACACCATCCTACTTTCCGAAACGGTAATGTCTATCTTCGCTCATGAAAAAGCTAGACTGTTTTAGGTGTATTGGCTAGTGCGACTTGGTTTCACATGGAAGACATACGATCGCTTTGTAGCGATTTTATGGAGCGAAGGATCTGGTAAGTTTTCTGGATTGCTTTCGAATCCAAGTAGTATGCGGAACGTTGTTGATTTTTTCCAGATATCGAAGCAGTACAATCTACCGCATCTCTTGAAAAGCACGGTGAAATGGTTGGCTGACAACCTTCTCATAATGAGCGATTGTGCATCTACTTATGACTTTTTGCGGAAAATTCCGTGAGTTTGTTGACACGATAGTTTTTTGTTCATGGTCACACAACGCTCGTTTGAGCGGTCGTCCTCCTGTTCTGGCGTAATTATTCCGGTAGGCCCACACCAAAGGGAAGCACTTATTAGAGCTCATCCGCAGTGTATATCCGATGACCGTGCCGGGATTTGAACCCCGGACATCTGGCAAGCTAGGCAAGCTGCCCCACCAACGCACGTTGGACGCATCAGAATTTTCATGTCTTATCAGGTGAACGTGCTCACACTTGAGTGATGTGACTGGTGTGCCCGACTGATCGAACGACGACCCAGTAACTGTCCTGGTGGTGACGATCGATTGACCCGCTAATCACTTGAAACCCACTGGGCAACCTTTGGGTTGCAGTTTTGGGGTTTTGCGGGATAGTTAGTTCAGCTGCGCAGAAGCCTTTCTCCATTTAACCGAAAAGTATCGAATTGTTACGCTGTCTTTTTTCATCTGTGAACCTGTGTTCTGCATGGTCTTAATTCGATGATATTGTACATGTCTCGGTAATCGAACCTGAAGGCAAACCGCGCTTACGGTGCGTTGTTACATTACTAGCCCTGGCATAAAAGTAGGAAGACGAAATGTGTGTCACGTCACCTTAGAATCTGAACTACTCACCAGTTTGGAAGTGTTCCTTTGGTAATCATTTCGATAAAAAGATGAAAAGAGAAGGTCGCAATGGGCAGTGATGACGAAAACCACCTTTGCTGACAAACTAAGGGAGATGCTCCTCGTAGACCTTCACACGCCCACTGGTTTTTGGAACGTAAGTTTTGTAGAAGTGCGGGGGGGGGGGACACTGCCACGAAGAGTTGCAATCGACCCTAGAAGACAAGAACTATTGACTTTTCATGTGTGGTGTTCAATAGGTTGTCACAAGGTAAATTTGTTGTCAATTCATCCATGACCGAGACAATAGTTTTTGTTGCTTTCCACGACTTTGCTTCTTGCAAGTATTGTTAATCGTCGTAGTACGTCTGAGTAAATTAGGTGCGGAAGTCCTTGACTTATTGCCACATTCAGATTTTTGATCTTTCACATACGGGAATGACGACAGACATGTCAAATTCCTCTGGCACTTCCTTCGTTTTCCAAATTATATGAAAGTTTCTTTCAGGCTGTAAGCTAGCCATTCCCTGTTATTCTCAAAAAGTACAGAGGCAAAGTTCAGAACCGCTCTCTTTGATCCCCTTCAAAATTCCTACTTCGTTTTTAACTGTATCTTGTCCCTGAATCAATCTATTCACATCCGATCGTGAAGTTGGTGGTGCTTGGGTTGTTTCACTTGGAACCTTAGACGGGTTAAGTTGTTCTTCTAATTGTCCCGCCCACCGTAACAGACGAGAGAACTTAAAATGGATTTCTTTCTCTGTAATAACGTCACTGGCCGGCAGTTCTTGTTTGGTGTGGTGAACAGATTGAGAAGGAGTCCATCAGTTTCCACTTCTGAGGTTCCGAGCCAAGCTTCCTGTCGGAGATCTTGTTGAATCATGTTGTCGGCTCGTTCTGGGTCGCTTTTCGCGCCTCGACCGGGAATATGGATCCTTATGGGATCCGACTTAAACTGGGTTCAGCTTCGTTTCGGAACGCACAAAAAAAGCGAATTCGTAGTGCTGTTGGTCTTTAGGGGGAATGGCGCGAGCCAGGGGATCATGCGATTCCATACATGTGTTCCAGAGAGGGTTAATTTTGAACACACGATCGCTTTCTATTCGAATGGTTACGGTTAGGAGAACACCATATAACACGATGTCCCTTTCTGCGATGAAAGCTTGAGCGCGTGATAAATAGATGGTACTTGTCCCCCAGCTGTTTGAATTGCTTGCCGTTATCAGTTCTTGGAGAACCCAAATCAAATCTACCAGTCCTTCCCACATATTGTTGAAATCACCAGGTAGAATAGTGACGTCCGTCTACTATTCCGTCCCGAAAAGTTTTTGAATTCCTCATACTGGTGCATTGGCCACACGATTGAGGCTACGGGGAGTTGCTTCCAGATTACTCGCCACTCGGAGAGTGAAACATGGATCTCAGCTGCCTTGGGTTGTGTTTACTGGGCCCTGTATCTGTGTTTCTTACACAAGTCGAATTCGAGGGAGGAAAGGTTATGATCAAGAGAAGCATGATGATCTGTTTGGCATAGACTTCGAACAGATTCCTTGGTGTTGACTGTATATGTTTAATTTCCATTTCTCTAGGTGGAGGGTTGGCACTTGGCACCGAATTTACAGGGCTACGAGCAAACACGTCAGTGTTGGCAGTTAAATTTGACGAAGCAAAGGAACCGTATCTACACTACTTGGACGGATTTTACTAGCTCAAGCTTAGGAGAGTGGTTTGATTGAGGCACTCCAACTCCAGCATACAATGCAAAGCGAGAAGGTAGGAGTTTTCTCTGGGACCTTACCCGTAGCTTTTGATCCAAGAATATGGCCTAGGTGGAAACACATGTTACGGTTTTCTTGGAGTTGGCTTCCTGATTAATAACTTAGTCATCTAACCCAGCTGTGTAGCTCAGGGTTTCAGGGAGTAAGATATAATTGTCTGAATTCCAATGCTCCTTCATCAGACAGGTGTTTTTGTGCAACAATAAGCCTTTAAGCTATTTCGACCGTATCGAGTGATGCACCTTTGGACGTTCGAATCGTGCGGTTTCGAGTGATAGCCTCTCTTAGCCTATCCTTTTTTGGAGAGACAGCATTCTTGCGTCCACAGTGGTGACCTGGAGGAAACCCTGCCGCCTTCACGCTCCTGTGTCAAACGACGGTATCGTTTTTCTCCCCCCAGGACTTCATATGATTATTCGCAGTACGGACACTTTGTCTGACTGCTCCCGTTTACCTTTGCTGGCACAGCTAAACCTTGTGGGACGGAGTTCCAGCCGGTGTAGTCAACCAGTTCACTGCAACGCTCAAACCCGACCACTACATCAAGGCATTCGCCATTGATCACGACGCCGCATTAGTAGAATAGGTCTCGAGGCCCAACTATACGCTTCGGTGAATCGGTGAACCGGTGAATCGGTCCAGATCTGTTTCATGGAAATTCGTCATTGTCGCTGTCAACACTGGTGAATAGGAAGCATGGTCGGTGTAGGTGACTTGATGTCATCCAGGAAATCCGGCATATAACCTTCCGGTGTCTTCACTGAAGATAATCGTTTTCTGTGAGAAAACGTCTCGTCGCTCCTGACTTACCAGACTGTAGTAGATGAAGGCCTCAGCCCATTTGTACAGATATCCGTCCATTAGACGGCCTCCTCTTCGCAATATAGCGTGCTAGACGTGGTCAAAGTGTTCGATGAAGTACTCGAAGACTAAAGACTGTGCTATGTTCGCCCCCTTTTTTCCATACCTCACGAGCAACATGTTGATAACTCATGAGCCCGATCAGTGAACCCGTGCAAGTTGAATGCATCGCCCTTTTAGTTGTTCTGACAGAGCTACCCTGTTTCTTCAAGACGATAGTTATGAGGAAGTTTGATGCCAGGCAGTTTTGTCCTTTGGGAACGGTCTGATAATTCCTGCACCTTCCGCTCGCCCTGCGGTTGTTCCATTCTACTCGAACGAACTTCGTGAATCCAGGTTGTGCAAAGCCTTCCCGATGTTTTTCTCATTTCTAGCAATATATTAGTTAGGACAACATTGAACGTCCAAAGCATCAAGTCGGTGACTACGTACAGAGAGGGTGCCACAGCTGAAGGATTTACTCTGGAAGGTACCGGCAAGCGTAATCCAATACTGAGCTTACAAGTTTTGTAAATGGGGTTAAGTAAATCTCAAAACTGATTTTCCGAGAACTGTCGGTATCCATATAGGCCGTAGAATAATGGGCAACTTTATGCAGCACCTAAACATGGACTACTGCACATTAGAGGTCCTAAAACTTATCGTTATTTGGTGTTAAAGTTGAAAAAATATTCTTTTCTGCCGAACGATATGCGAATTTTAAAGGTGGCGGATTCTCAACTGGTAAAATACCGTCATCATTATCAGTGTTCAACACTGATACTTCGCTGCCGTACGCAAAATACCACAGGCGGCACTACGATATTGTGAGCCTCAAGGTACCGTTAAGGGGTTTCGCATGTGACGAGGAGGACGCTACTGAATTGGCGTTTGAATCACATGAAGGCCATCCGCAACCATGAAACTTTGCTGCGCTTCCGGTCGATGTTGAATGTGTTTTCCAATAGACAAACTCGAATAGACTCCAGACCTGACAGAGTGCGCCGACGAAATTAACTCATGATTCAAAGTTCTCTCTGATGATTCTACCCTCAATCCTCTTCCTACTTTTTCGCAGTTTGCTCTTGACTGTGCAAATCCTCTAGGTTCATCTCCAAACGAAAGCCATGCTAATCTAGGGACGTCCTCCGTACACAAACCCTCACGTTTTTTCCATGTTTAAGTCCAAATTTTACTGCTGATCTTGCCTCATGAGCAGCAGCAATCCGGGATACCTTCATAGCCGACCCGTCCTCCGAGTGAAAGCTTCTGTAAGATAAATAAGTGAGCTGTTTGCATTGAATGGGGTGGATCCAGGACAAGGATTTGGTGGGTGATCAGTGAGTTGAAACAGACAGTACGAATAGATGACCAGCTGACCGGTGAGCTCAAGGATCAACTGACCGGTAGCCGATATCTAACTTTGTTGGTGCTCGGGTTTCAGCCTAAAAAGAGGTATTGAATGACAATTAACTGGAAGTCACTGTGTCTATTAATGCACTTTTTCCGTTTTTCATGTGGACATTTTGAGTACATTTTTCTAAATTTTTGGATCATATGATCTCCCACTCCATAACTAGCGCTAACGTCTCAGTGGTACACAGGGGGTGCACATGCCCTTTACCACCGGCACAACAACCTCAACTCAACTCTCCACAATGAGGACCATTGTTTTAACCGTTGCTGTTTGTTACTGTCGCAGTTTGAAGCTAAATCTAACTCACATCTTGTGTTAGGAAGCCTTCAAGTTCAGATCTA